CGTGAGGAGCATGGTTGATTGCTGAGCCTTCTTCCTGACAGTGTTCCAATGTGGCTCCTGGGGAGCCCAGAAAACTGTAAGCATCAGTTTGCCAGTTGATGGCTGACTACCTTTTTCTTGGTTGGAGATTGAGGATATTTCCATTCCATACTCTGCCATTTACTCTCAGGCTCATAGTGATGGATCCATATCTTGTTATCAGTAATGACATTTTAAAGAAACTTTTACCTTCCTTCAAAGAGCTGTCCAAATTTGTTTGCAGATGTCCAAATGCTTCTGTTTGTGCTCTTCCGTGAGTTGTTTCAGTACCCACAAACTTTTCAAAACCCAAAACCGTTGTGGATTCTTTCATAGGCAGAGCCCTGGCTGATTTGCCACATAATCCAGTGTCACTCATCTATTGGGCAGAATCACTGCTGGTGCACGCTCAGTGTTGTCAGCAACTGTGGACATGGATGGGTGTTTTACCATAACCAGATAATTTTCAACTCACTCTCGTGTGTGTGTATGTGTGTGTGTATAAACCCAATCTTTTATTCAAATACAATATGCATCCAAACCAAATCAGTTGCTGTGGAGTTCATTCTGACTCACAGCAACCCTGCATCTGTCAGAATAGAACCATGCTCCCTAGGGCTGTCGATGGTTTATTTGGGGGAATAGAATTGCCAGGTGTTTCTTCTGATTGTGAGGCTTTCTTTGAGAACTCAGAAACTCCAAGTTAGCAGCCAAGTTTGGTGGCTGTTTGCACCACCCAGGGACTCCAAAGTAAAGCATAAATCATCAATGCATAGCTCAATGAACTTTCATGTGATAAAAAGAACACACAAAATCAACTCCTTGTATGTCCCCTTAAGCACCTCCGATGAGTCAAAGGATGTAGTTCAGACACCACCCCCAAGGGAAGCTGCGGTTGCTGAGGAGCCCCCAGGACTTGTGTTTCCATGGCAACAGAAGTTTGCTTTTCACACTAAGGAGGTCTGGGAGGTGGGGTAGCACAGGGAGCAAGCCAGCTTCTGGGTCCCTGTCTTCCCCCCAATTTCAGTTCCTGAGTGGCCTGAGGGCTAAGTAGGTAAATGTACAGGAGTAACTCCAGACAGCAGTGACTGAGAGCCTTCCTCAGGAACACTCTAGTGTGGGACATCAGGGCCGACTTCCTGCTGAGGAAGCCAGACTGGCTCTGGCCCAGCACAGCTGCCTCCTCCTACCTCCCCGCCCCACACCAGGGGGATGGTCATGGGCCAGGCCTGGAGACAGCCAGGGTCCATTACTAATCTTACTTGCATTTTGCTTTCTCCTCTGTGAAATGGAAAATCAGGGGCCTTCCCCATACACTACCAGTGCCTCCCGGGCACATGCTCCCTTGAAGGGCCCTCAATGACAGATACTGCTTCTGAGTGCTGCTTTGTCTTATATAAATAGTATGGCCTCCACACGTAATATCATTTTACTTTGCAAGTATGCAAAGTTTGAGAGACCTTCAGTATCCTTTATTCTTTTCACCTCTCATGAAACACTCAGGCGTGCAAACTCCGGGGGTTCCCCCACCTACCCCCTAGCCATGTGACCCCTTCAAAGTCTATTCCTCCTTACAAAGAGTTCACTTTTCCCAGTTCACCATGCTCGGTGACATCTCACCTGTTACTTGTGGGGCAGGGAGGTCATATGTGACTTGCCCTAGGTCCCTGGGCCAGTGTGCCAGCCTTCATCACAGGCTCTGTTCTGCCTCCTTAACCCTGCAGGGCACCTAGACCAGGGGCCTCTGAGGGCTGCAATGAGAAGGTGGGAAAGGACAACCCCAAACCTGTTTCCATTCAGTTGATTTTAACTCATGGTGACCCCATGTGTCTCAGAGTCTAAAACTGCACCCTTAGGCTCTTCAATGGCTGATTTTTTACAAGTAAATTAATGCCAGACCTTCCTTCCAAGGCACTCTTGGGAGGATTAGAACCACCAACCTTCTGTTTATTGTTGTTGTTGTTGTTAGGTGCCATCAAGTTGGTACTGACTCATAGTGAGTGACCTTATGCACAGCAGAAGGAAACACTGCCCAATCCTGGGCCAACCTCACTATTGTTACCACGCTTGAGCCCACTGATGCTGCCACTTTGCCGATCCATTGGCTGGGGGTCTTCTTCTTTTTCTCTGACCCCTCCACCTTACTCAACATGATATCCTTCTCCAGCAACTGGTCCCTCCTGACAATATGTCTGAAGTATGAGAGACAAAGTTTGACCATCCTGGCCTCCAAGGAGCACTCTGGCTGCACTTCTTCCAAAACAGATCTGTTGGTTTTTTTGGCATAGCAGAGTGCAAAAGGGGAACAGACAAGAGGTCTAAGCAGTCTTTTTCCTAATGTAGCTGTGGATGTAGTGACAGGGAATAGATTCACTCACTTACCACCTGATACCATTTCAGACCTTCCTCCATTATGGACTTGATCTCAGCACTGCATTTGCCCCTAAAACATCTTTGATCAGAAGAGTGTTTTCAAATATGAAAGTACCTGCGGGGTCTTTATTACAATGTAGAGAGTGCCACCTCTGACAGTCTGGGCTACACCTAGAATCCTGCATTTCTAGCCAGCTCCCAGGTGATGCCCCTGTGGCTGAACCACATTTTGCATAAAAGTTCTAGAAGATTCCTGGGTCTCAACTGCCATTGAGTTGATTCCAATGTATAGTGACCCTATGTAGGGTTTCCAAGGCTGTAAATCTTTATGGGAGCATACAGCCTCCTCTCTTTCCTTCTGAGCAGCTGGTGGATTTGAACAGTTGATCTTGCAATTCGCAGCCCACTGGGTAACTCACTATGCCAGCTGGGTATGTTGTTGTTATTGTTATGTGCCGTGGAGTCGGTTCTGACTCATAGCAACCCTGTACAGGGTTTCCGAGGCTATAAATCTTTACGGGAGCAAAAAGCCTCATCTTTCTCACACGGAACAGCTGGTAGTTTCGAACTGGTAATCTTGATGTTAGCAGCCTGATTTGTAACCACTACGCTACCAGAGCTCCTTCAGTTGGGTATGGTGCCCGGTTATTTGGTCTGATACTAGTCTAGATGTGAAAGTGTTTGCAGATGTGATTAACATTTACAATCAGTTGACTTTAAGTGAAAAATATTACTCTCTATAATGTGGGCAGGCTTCATCTAGTCAGTTCAAGGCTTTAAGGGCAAAAAAAGGTTTCCCAGAGAATAAGGAATTATACCTTAAGACTGTAACAGAAATCCTGCCCTCCAGCTTTCAGACTCAACACTGCCAGCTAGACTGCTGCCTGCCAGATGGATTTTGACCTTGCCAGCCCCCAACATCACAGGAGCCAATTAAATTTCTTAAAATATCTATATCTATTTACCTACCTACCCAGGAGCCCTGGAAGCATAGTGGATTATGAGCTGGGCTGTTAACTCTAAGTACAGCAGTTCTAATTACCAGTTGCTCCAAGGGAGAAAGATGAGGCTTTCTGCTCCCATAAAGATTTACAGCTTTGGAAACCCTATATGGGGTTGCTATGAGTCAGAGCTAAGTGGCACAAAATCACCACCTACCTACTTATCCATCTACCCATCCATCCAACTATCCTACCGGCTTTTTTTTTTTTTTTTAAGAGCTCAGACTAAGTACACCTGGAATAAGAGGCTAGGCCTCACCCTCTTGTTCTCACCTGGGCAGCTGAATGCCCCTCCCTGGGGTAAAACTGCAGTCCCGGTTTGGTGAGGCACCGTGGAGAAACTGCAGGGTCTCCTCCCTGGTATCCACAGTAGCCTCAAATACCAACTGAGCTTCGGTCAATTTATCAGCAGCTGGTTTGGTTTTGTGATTGGCAGGAGAGGATGGGCCCGGAAGCCAAGTAGAGACCTGGATGCTAACCAAGCAGTTTCTGAGCCTTAATTTTCCCATCTCTAATAATGACTGTGATACTTCTACGGTCGGTTTGATGTGATCACAAATGTTGTGTTGCAGCACAGAGTTGCTCCCTACACATTTGCTCCACTTTCTCTTCCTCTGTCTAGCCAACTAAACATCTGATGGCTGAGGAAGACGAACTGTCAGAGTGTAGACACAACCGTCAACTTCCTGCAAAACCCCTTCCTTATTTCACACTGAATGCAGAAACTGGTATCACAGTAGAGGAGGAAGAAACCATACAGGCTCACCGAGAACCTAAAACTCAATCCTATGACATGAACCCAGATGCTGAGAAAAACAAAAGATTAGGTGTAAACAGTTGGTGCTTGACTACTAAACCTCAAGGTTACTTCAAATCCATCCAGTGCTGCTGTGTAAGACAGGCTTGGTGATCTGTTCATAAAGATGATGGCCAAGAACCCACATTTTACTCTGTAACATGTGGGGTTGCCATGGGTTGGGGTCAGTGTGATGGCGGTGGACTTGGATTTTTGGCTTTACACAGAGTGTGGGGTTTAGGACACCATGCAGGATATAAACTCAGAACAGAAACTTGGTTTCAGGAGTGGTTTTATAGTATAGCTTAATAAGAAATCCTTCTGCAGTTGGTCAAGTCAGTATTTTATTTGAAAACACACTCACAGACACACAACGATAACAAAGGCAGGAGACTCGAGACAGGATGATCACATATAGTGTTTCTACAGGCATGACTCACTTTATGAAAGACAGGTATCTTCCAGACTGAGTTGACAAGTTAGATAACTTAAGAGGTGGTTTTGTTTTTGAAGAGGACTTAAGGCAATTTCTAATCCCTGAGAAATATGAAATAGAAGCAGATTTATGCATGGTTTCTGGAAACCCCTCCCTTGTGTTAAATGGGGTCATCAGTACCTGAGGTGGTTTTGAAAGCAGGTAGAAGAGACCACAGTTCCCTTATAGCTGCTTGGGAAGAGTAATCACTAAGAGAGACAGGAGAAAGAGGCTGGACCGGTCCAAGAGCCCAGGGAACTGGCCCTGGGGAGAGCAGAAGGGAAGAGGAAGGGTCCTTCATTGCCCAGCAGCCTGACTTTGGCACAGGAACACAGGTTCAGAAGCCCTTCCTCTGGTCTCCTGTCTGCTGGGTCTCGCATCCTGCTAGTCCCCAGCAGAACCTCTTGCGGTGCGTGCCTGCAGTAGTGTCAACCTCAGACAGGTGCATCTGGAGAAGGAAATGGCAAGGTCAGGCCCACTGGCTGGGTGGGGTCGGGGGGGTGGGGAGGGGAGGAAGGCTCCTCTAGAGGAAGGAACCAAGCTCCACTCAATACATTGCTTTTCCTCTACCTGGTCCCCACTTTCTTTGGAATTACTTTATGCATTTAACCCTTTCCTAACTGTAGGACATAGATCTCCCACCAGCATTTTTAGTCACTCAGGTTTCTTGGGACACTGCTATCCCAGTTGTATGTAGTCCATGCTGCTACCTGGTAGGGACCTACATAACTGCGAGAATCTGAAGAACTTGGCCTCACTCTATCAATCTTACCACCAGAGTTCACTTGGGACATATGTGTCCTACATAACTGTATCAAAATCCATATTATTATTTTTCTAAAGTCCCCTCCTCCATCTTGATTTCAGTATGCCTTCTATTAAAGGAAACACATGGTGTCAATGAAAAAATTCAAAGCAGAAAATAATCCGGTTATGGAAGGGTTAAAATACATGTCTAAAAATAAATGAAATATTGCAGAAGGGACTCCTATCGCCACTCCTCCTGCCCCTTCAGAACCTTAGTCCTTCCCCTCGGAGACAGCCCTTCTAACTCCTTTATGGGCTTTTTTTTTGAGAGTTCACCCATAAATTTAAATAACATATTTACCCCAATATTTACAGATTTGTCAACTTCACACTCACCTCCTGACTGATTTTTTCACATTCTACACTTTTTACCACTTACATATTTAAAAACAAAACAAAAACAGCTTTACTAAGATAAAACTCACATACCATATAATCCACCCAGGTAAACTTTATAGTTGAGTAGTTTTTAGCATATCCACAGATATGTGCAGCCATTACCACAGTTAATTTTAGATGATGAAAACATCTCAAAGAAAAAAAAAAGTGTATCTTTTACTAACACCCGTTTCCCATGTTCCCCTGCCCTCCAACATCCCAACTTAAACTCTAAGTGACCTCTAATCTACCTTTTGTAGCTTTGCTTATTTGGGACATGCCATGTAAATGGGGTCATGCAATAGGTGGTCTTTTTTTTTTAATGTTTCATTGTGAATTATGTGATAGTTTACATGGGAGAATATTAGCTTTACATTCATCCTATCGTATATCATTTCACTGTCATGGTTGCAATCACCTCCATGCATCATCAACCAACCAAAGAGTATATATATCATGCAAGCCTGCCCCCCGGGTCATCAGCACACAGCCCCTTTCATTCTCTGGGTCTAGAGTCCTCAGCCGCTCCATCTTGCCACATCAGCATCTCTGCCTCCATCTCTGCCATCACTGTCTCTTTGAGTAGGGTCCCGCATTCCACTCTTTTCCCTTGGTGGTCCCAGGGACCTCCGCTCCTAGACTGCAAAGTCAATTACTTGCCTTGTTTTGCTACAAAATGTCTACCTTTACATTTCCAACCCTCAGTCAGTCCTGATAGCAATTATTCACTATTGTGCCACATGAGAGCCATCCCCATCTCCTTTCATCATCCCCACCCAGACAGACTGGATGCTACTCAGTGGAGATTCTACCTTCCTCCGTACCCTCTGGTTCTAGACTCCCTCTTGAAAGCTTGTAAGCCAGTCACTCTTGCCTTTGTAGTCCCCCCCGTCCCCCAGTAGGTGGTCTTTTGTGACTGGCTTCTTTGACTTAGCATCCTCTAACTTCTATGCCAGTGGTAGCTGGGAGAACACAAAAAAATCTGTTAGCCCGTCTTCAGCCTATAACTGATTGGGTTATCTAAAAGGGTACTAGAATGTGCCCAGGGAAACAGGTTTCTTGTTAAGCCTTTGTGGAGTATGGGGCCTTAGATGAAATTCTGAGCCCCACCCAAAACATTCAGAGGTGGGACATTCCCAACTGAAAGGATATGCAGACCAGTCCAGAATGGCTAGAGGAGCAGATGATACTTCTTGAAAGAAAGACTAAAGAGGGAGGGGTAGGGAGAAAGCATACTGTTTGGCTGTGACAATATCAAGCAGACTGTTTGCCTTGGAGCCATCAAGGCAAGAAGAGTCAGTCCATCAGGGTAAACCTCTTTCTAAGACTGGAACTCAAGGGAAACACATGAACAGTCAGGTATGCGCTCTAGTTACTGGCCTGGCCAACTTATGAGTAGAAGTGGGGAAATGCAGCAAAGAAGACATGGGCTGAGATTGGCCATGTGCCATAGATACCCGATGACCTTGGGAGGCTATAAAGGTACCAAGTGGCTGGCTTGAAAGCTTTCATGAGGGAGCTTAGTGTCAGAATGAGGGGGGTAAAATAGAATCCCCACTGAACAGTTTTCCTCTTGTCTGGTGATGAGTGGGATAGGATTTTATGATTCATTTGTGAGTAACTGTTCTCAGTTGTGAGTAACTGTTTAGGTCTAATGGCAATTGTCACAACTGTAACCTAAAGCAGGGAGCAGTTAATCTGTCATTTCAGAAACAGAGGACCCTAGGATCATCAAGAGGGAAGAACATGAGAGGAGTGAGGGATCCTAACCAGAAAAGTGGCAACAACAAAGATGGTGGCAGAGGCAATGGCATAGAGAGACAGAGCAGCAGAGGACGGCCCATGGACTGAGAAAGGCAGTATGCCCGCAGGCAGGAGGCTGGCTTGCAAAATGTGCCCTTTGGACATTTAAATGAATCTGTCTTTTCAATGTGGGTCAGCTACCAGGTGCTCATCAACATGCAGGCCCTCAGCGTGGCCAAGGCTATGGGTCTGACATTTGGTCTCCTGACAGCTTTGCTTCTAGATCTCAAAATATGGAAACCACTTTAGGTGACTACTTTGATGACCATGCTTTCTGGTAATTTTCTCATTTGGCTGTTGGATTTTAAGCCCAAGCACCCAAAGGAAAGAAATCTTGTTCAAACATCAGACAATTTTCTTTTGCTGTTTCTCACCTTTTTTGTGTAGCACTAATTATAGTATGGTCTCATTATATTCAGTGAAACAAGATCAGGGATAGATTTGATAGTAAAAATAAAAGAGTAAACAGTTGGGGAAAAAACCACAAAAAACATCTGCTGTGACAGCCTTGCGCAGGACCACTCTCACAACATGACAAGTACCTTAGTGTGCGTTCTCTCATATTCTTTGTGTGTTTTTAAAGACATGAGAGCACCAAGGAGGGAGAGGGGCTGTGTGCTGATGACTGAGGGGCAGGCTTGCAGGATATACGCTTTGGTTGGTTGATGATGCATGGAGGGGATTGTAACCATGGCAATGAAACAATATATGAGAGGATGAATGTAAAACTAATGTTCTCCCATGTAAACTATCACATAATTCACAATAAAAATTAAAAAAAATAAAAATAAAACAAGCAAAAAAGCACAAAGGAAGGAGATGCTTGATCAAAGAAATTGTTCTTGCTGTTAGGTGCCATCGAGTGAGTTCTGACCCTGTATAGGGTTTCTAAGGAACAGCTGGTGGATTTGAACTACTGATCTTGCAGTTAGCAGTTCAGTGCTTATCCTACATCGGGATGCCAAAGCAAGAAGTAGATTAATAAAGAACAATAGGCCTAGCTCTTATCAATTCTACTTCTATGAATTTATTCTAAATAGGAAAAAATAGTAGAGATGTGTGTAGAGACTTAAATTCAAGGATGGTCTTTATAATACTGTTTAACAGCAAAGAATAAAACACCTGTAATGTCTCCAAATGGAAGAATTAAATAAACTGTAGCACAATCACACAACAGGACATCACTGAACCAAAGAAAGAAGCAAATTAATAATAATAATAAAAAAAATAGGCCTGACTTTCATCAATTCTACTTTCAGCAAGTTATTCTAAGTATGAAAAAATAGTAGGGATGTATATAGGGATTTAAATTACAGGACGTTCATTTCAACACTGTTTAATTGCAAAGAATAAAAAATCCTTTATGTCCCCAAATGGAAGAATTAAATAAATCGTGGCACAATCATGCAATAGAACATTACTGAGCCATTAAGAATGATGGAGAAGGAGACCTAATAATATTGGGGAAATGTTTGTAAACATGGTTAAGAGAGAGAAAGCAGGTTATAAAATAGCACATAAAGTCTAATCCTTTTAATATAAATTCAAAACTGTATATGCTCACCTAGAACCTAAAAGTCAAACATATGACCACTACCCAAGATGGAAAGAAAAACAAAAGGATAGTAGTTTAGAAAGGTTCCTTAATGTCACTGAATTATACATGTAAAAATTATTGACTTGGCAAATGTTTTGTTATGTAAAAAAGGAAAGAAAACAAAAAATGCTTACCCATCAGAGACTGGAAATATAAATCATCCCTGGAAGCAGTGGAGGTAGGGATTAGTAGAAGGTCTTGGAGGCTTATATCTTCTTCTGACTGGCCACTGAGCTCTAAGGTTGCATCTGAGTTTGCCTTGGGCCTGAATGTGCTCCCTCAGTACAGGATCATGTCCTGTACTTGTTAAACTCAAGAATGACCACGTTTTCCTATCCTGAGCCTAGGGAACTTTTCTGTGGTCAGGTAAGTGGGACTCACCTGCTGACTGGGTGACACATGAGATCTTGTAGGACAACCATATGCTTGCCATGCACAGGGCGGTAGCCATGAAACCAAATACCTGCACAGGAGAGAGTGTAGGGGATACCACCGTCAAAAGGGTTGGGCACTTCGCAAAGCCTTGTTTCTCATCTCGGTCTGTTCCCCTGCACTGACTATCCAGAAGGGAACCTGGGATCATCTGATCCAACCACCTCATCCTCCTTCTGGTCACTCCACCCCAGTTCTTCTCACAGAGTTCTCTTCCTGGATCAGGAAAACGTCTACGTATGATTTTCCTACTTGACAAGATAAAGGAAGCTAGCAGTACTCATAGGAGAAGGCTTCTCAGAAATGAAAGGTGTGGCTGTGAGCGAAGAATGGTTCTTCACTTCTGCATTTTCCAGAAGGTCCAACTTGAGAGAGAGGGCAAACAGTGACACGCTCCACTGAGTGAGGGCCCGCTCTAAGCAAGGCCCTGCTCTAGACTCTGGTTATACGCGCCTTCTGAGCCATATTCTTGCTGGGGCGGGGCATTATTGCCCCCACGTTGCAGGATGCAAAATGAGTTGAGGCTCAGCTAGCAAATGTTTAATTGAGCATTTCAGTATACCTCCCATTCATTTTATCATGAACTGGTCCAGTCTTATTAAACTGGCTTCTATGATTTCAAAACACCTAACAACCTAAATGGCTCAGGCCTGACCAATCAGAACAGAGCAACCCATAGGTGGCATCCTGGAAGCTGCCCCAGCCCCAGGGCTGGGTCAACTGTTAGCCTCTGAGTGGCTGGATCAATAGCAGGCTGGAGAGTCCAGGGCCTGGATTCACTGCCATTCATTTCATTCTGACTCACAGTGCCCCTCTAAAACAAGGTAGGACTGCCTCCAGAGAGCTGCTGAGGCTGTAAATCTTTACGGAAACAGACTGCCACAGTTTTCTCTTCAGGAGCAGCTGGTGGGTTTGAACCTTTTGGTTAACAGGCAAGTACTTAACCAGACCTCCTTCATATGAGAGTAGCATGGAAGGATTTGAATATTATAACAAGTTTAGGCATGCCAGTACATATTGTCTAGAGTTATTGTCTAGGCCCTGTAGGTGCTCTACAAGTATTTCTATGTGACATATAAATATTGGTTATATGATAATTTATAAATAATAATATAAGCATATTTTGGCTCTTCTATGTCAGAGGTGGGAAAATTACGGCTGGAGGGCCAAATCATCATCTGTTTTTATAAATAAAGTTTTATTGAAACACAGTGACACTCATTTGCTTATATTTTGCATATGGCTGCTTTCTTGCTATATTGGTTTCCTGGATGTCCAACAAAGCATAAAATATTTACTATCTGGACCTTTATAGGAAATGTTTATCCATCCCTATTATAAGAGACTACTTTACAACCAGGAACTGCTCAGCAATTTCAGTGCCATGTTTGGGGTTATGTTTACAACTGGCTGGGTCCAAGCTATTACACTTTAATTACCCTGGGCTAATAAAGAAGAAAAATGCAGAATTGTAAAACTTAATTTGGGTTTTAAAATTTTTAACATTAAAATGAATTTTACTGGGTTTGCACTTCATTTGTAAATTTCATTTGTAAATCTGTTTTGGCTCACAGCATGGTCTGGTTAGAGCCAGAAGCTAATTTTACGTTTGCACATATTTAAATAATATTAAATTAAAATAAGTGAAGGAAAAGCTCTTTCCCTTTTTCAGGCTCCATCCAATGCTCAAGTGTGAGGAAAACTGAGTCTAATCCAACCTCTTCACTTTATACACTAGGAACCGGGGACCGCCTTGCAGGAGGCTTGTCAAGTGACCTGGGGAGAAGCGGGTGCAAACTTGTTGTCTTTTGGGGATTTTGAGTCATTTTCCCAATATGTGAACAATACTGTTAGCAGTAGCAGTAAACATTTACTGAGCATTTCCTATGTACCAGTCAGCGTTCTAAGTCCTTGGTAGCTGTTCTCTGCAGTTGAGTTGACCCCCTCTCATGGCAACCTCAGAGTATAACTGCTCTGTAGTGTTTTCAAGCCTGTGACCTTTCACAAACAGATCACCTGGTTTATCTTTCAAGAGGCCTCTAGGTGGGTTCAAATGGCCAACCTTTTGTGCCAGTAGTGGAGTGGGGCACATATTTGTGGCACTCAGGGATTCCTAAGCAAGTCCTTCATCAGTGAGTTAATTCTGTTAACCTTCTTAACAATTTGGCCAAGTGGGTGCTAGTTATCTCTCCCACCCCCGCCATTTTGTAGCTAAGGAGAAGGAGGCACGTGAAGTCGGATATTTTGCCCTGAGACCTCAGAAAACATGGGCAGGGGGCAGAGATGGGCTTTGAGCCCAGGAATCCTGGCTCCAAAGTCCACACTCTGCTCTACTGTTGCTCAGGTGGCCACGGATTCCCAATGCCGACCTTGGTGTAAAGCGGAACTCATCAGCTAAAACCTCCTAGGAAAGGCCCAGGAGAGGCCAGATGAAGGGCTGGATTTTCAGTAAGGTTAGTTTTTTTTTCTGTCAAGCTTGGTTGCTGGTTTGCATAAACACCTGACCCCACCAGCCCACACCCATCTCTCATTCCCTGGCTTCCCTTTCTGGGCTCTTTTTGTACCAATTGTCTGTGCCACATAATTAGTCTATTAGAGCTTGTCCTGCCTCTCATTGTCTGTTCTGCACAATTAGCACATTATATACCATCCTGGTCTCCAACCGTCTGCCCTGCATAATTGAACAGTATATTACATCACTACATAATGCTATTCTAGACCATGTTGCCTTGTTTGCTAATTGTTTCATATGCCTTGGTCTCTTCTCCTGAACTAGACTACCATTTTCTATCCTTTCCCTCTCTCCCCACTACCATGGCCCAGGTTTGGTCCTAGGTACCAGGATAATAGATTCTAGCTTTGGTTAAGCTGAATCATAAACCTAAGGGGGCTGTCACCGTGTTGTTCTTGGAATCATAGTGAGCAGGATTTCCTCTTTGTCCCTTTCCTCATCTGCCCTGTGGCTCAGCAGGTGGTGAACACCACTGACCTCAGAGACAGCACAGGGATGGGTGGGGACTTGGGAGGCCCATAAGTACCAACAGCATTTGGAGGCTTGGATTAACCCCCTGCAGTGAAGCTCTGTCCCCTACAGGCCTTTGTAGGACAGACTCCATTGTCCCTCAGTGAATTTCAGGAGCCAATCCACTCCTATCCTAGAGTCTGGAGGATTTGGGGAACATGTACAAATGAAAGAGTGGCTGCCACACACAGAGGTTTCCTCAAAGCTCATTTTGAAAATCTTGCTTGTTCATCAATTGGGGCCTTAGTGGCACTGTGGGTTGGCTGTTAACTGCAAGGTTGACAGTTCAAACCCATCTATGGCTTTGCAGGAGATGGATGAGGCTTCTGTTCCCATAAGATTTAGAGAGTCTTGGAAACCATATACAATGTCAGTAGGGGTTGGAATCAACTTGACGTTTGCTGTAATTTTCAGTTCATCAGTTAAGAAAATCAATACGGGGCATGGTTACCAAACCGCAAACAATTAGCTAAATCAGAAATCAAATTACAAATATGCATTAGAACTGGATCACCAGCTGATTTAAATAGTGGCTGTCTCCTACAAGGTCCAGGCTGCAGGAAACATTGGGATTTGTAGACAAGACCGTCTGTGGTGGGCCCAGATTTCAGGCTCTCAGGAGACAGCTGCTGGCTGCATCAATGTGGATATGATTTTATGGAAGAAAGATTCCTCCAAACCAGCCTATCTTGTGCCTCCATCAGGAAGAAAATGAGCATTTAAAGCATGAAATCACTCTTAAAGCCCAACCCTCCAGTTCTCCCTTATCCTCTACCCCCCCAACCCCCAGCCATAAGACCATCCTCACCGCTCCGGCCACGAGTCCACTCTGGTTGTAGCTCTTGGAGGCTGCAATGATGGAGGCGATCAGGAGGAGCAGTGTGCCAATTAAATAATGCAGGAGTTCCTGGGGTGGAGACAAGGCAAAGCAGTGATTGGGGAGGTCCACTCCTGGTTCTTAGTGAGAAACCAGAAGACTTAAAAAGGGAACAGAGCGACACTTCCTCTTGTCCCTCCCAACAAGCCCATAGGATGAGTAGTGCAGCATGTGGACAATAAACGCAGAAGGAAGAAGCCCAAGCAAGAGAGGAACAACTCTGGGAAGCAGGAAGGGAAGGGGCAAAGAGAAAGGAAGTGTTTCATGGGATGAGATATAGTCACTAGGACAGTTTCAAATCATGAGATTAATTTGTAGGTAGCATAGGAAAAGCACTGAACCACAAGGTCAGTTTGAACTTACCAGCCATGAGTTAGAACTAACTCCATGGCACTTAACAACAACAACCACCACCTTTGACGGTTGGCCAAAGCTACTATGTAAATGAGCCTCTCTCAACTCCCCAACTAAAGAGTTTATTAAATGAAGCTCCAGCTCCCAGAAACAAAGCCCCATATAGAGTGGTAAGCCTTTTTCTTCTGCTTCGGAGAAAATTCCATGCTGACAATGTGCTGGCTTTGTGTGGGTGACCAGACCATCTGTCCATTCTGTGAACAGTCACAAGTGAAGACCAAGAAAGGCCTGGGCCCCTTAGACTCAGTCAGAACCTAGAAAGAAGTCCTGTGGATGTGTGGCGGGAGCTGGCTTTCTCATTCCCACGCCCTCTTGGTTTTATCCTCATTCTGTCATTAAATCTTGTCTTCTCTCCAGAAGTGTGCATCAGGCCAAGCCCTGCCATCCTAAGTGTACTGGCAGGTCCCTCTGTTTGGCCTTCTTGCTATATGTCATGGGGCTACCCATTGCCACATCATTCACCCCTTCCCATGGTTACAAAGGCATCTTTGCAGACTTTGGACAGATGAATAAAGATCTGCCGTCCGACAGCACAGAAATGCTTCCGCCTCATCCCTCCCCTCCGCATCCCGTTAAACAGATTAGAAGGGAATCAGGACTTAGATCTATCCCTTTTCAGTTGTCTTCAATGAAAATTTAGAAATGATAAGCAGTCCCTGGATTATATATGAGGTCTGTTCCTAAGTGTATCTTTACATTGGATTTGTAGGTCAGTCATAAGTGCATATGGTTCTTACTTTGCCTTACTTTAGTGCAAGAAAAGGCTCAAAGTCTTTTCAATCATTTAAAAGTTGCACATGTTGGTGCAAGTGATGGTGATTGTGATAAAAATTTCTTGCAAGAAAGGGTTGGCTCAATCATTTCTCAAAGTGAGGCAAGTACTGACAGCACTTAACAATAACAACAACTGCCAGCTGTTAGTAGGTATTGACGTGTGTGTGTGTGTGTGTGTGTGTGAAATGACTCTGCATTGACGAATCCTTATCTCCACCCCCTGTGTTTCTTTTGGGGGGATCAGGTGGGGTGGATGTATACAAAAACACTGAGGAATATGTAATAATTTAAACAACCAAAGGGCACATTCTGCAAGCCTGCCTCCTGGCCGCCAGCACTCAGTCTGTCTCTCATGACTCCAGAATCCTCAGCTTCTCCCTCTCTCCATGTCCTCATCTCTGCCTCCATCTCTGGTGTCGCTGCTTCTCTGGCTAGGGTCCCGCATTTTGCTTGTGCTCTTCTCCCTTGATGGTCCTAGGGTCCTGTGTTTCTGGACTGCAAGATTAACTCCTCCCCAGTTTTTGTTATAAGACTTCTGCCTTTATAGTTGTGACAGTTGCAATGAGTCATGATTACAATTACTCACTACTGAATCATAAGAATCTTATTCCCATCTCTTTTAACCAGACCCGTCTAGACAAGATGAAAATTATTCAGTGGGGGTTCTACCTTCCCCCACATACTCTGAAACTAAACTCCCTCTTGAAACCTTGTAAGCCAGTTACTTGGTGCCTTTATCGCCCCCTCATTTTAGGTAGCCAATGTCTAAATTGCCTGTCCCTATCTACCCAGTGCACAGAGGCGATAGGATTGATACTTGATGTGAAGGCTTCTTCCCTCTTAGTTGGTGTTTTGAGCTACTACAGCTGTAAGTATAAGTCAGGTTCATCAAATTGTAGCAGTTTACACTTGTTTCCTTCATCCCCCCCAAAATTTTTTATTTTGGTTTCCTTTAGGGGTCCTTATTTTTTGCTGACCAAGAATGATCAGATTAGACAGACTTTCATACGACTAAAAACTTAAGTAATTTACTTAGAGGAAAGATCTGACCAGAGGCGATGAGGGGGCACTCTAGACAACTCTAACCCTTTTCTCCCTGAAAAAAGGCTTTGCTGGGGTTTTAAGCGGTTTTAGGTGGGAAAGGAATCCTGGTGTGGTTCTGTAGGATAAGCACTGGACCACAAGGTTAGTTTGAATGAAAAGGTCAGTGGTTCAAATCTGCCAGCTGCTCCTCAAAAAACTAATACAGGGACACTATGAGCCAGAACTGACTCAACAATACTAGGTGGAAAAGGCATCAAATTTATTCATAAAGATAGGTGGGAATTTCTGGGAAGTGGCCCATTGAAGATGGGGGTTTGATAATTGGGTATGTGTTCAGTTTTTCTTCAAGATGGATTTTACCACAAATGTTCTGGTAGGGCAGATGAAACTTATTCTGGGATATCACACATGCATAGATCTTTAAGACTTCGTTTCCAGCCCCCTTCCAGGAATTGGTGCTCTCCTCTGCCCCCAGCTGAAGGTTGTCCTTTAAGATTATGCCTAGGGAACTGGGTAAAAGCAGTAAAACATCTTACAAGGAAGTAAAATATGGAATATTTCTGGGTGGTCTGTTCTTTCTTAATGTCATGTCCCAGAATGTGTCTGTTCAGCTACGTGCCCTGAGCATATCCTAAACATTGTCACAATTGCTCAATCAGGGAGAGGCACAGCCCTTAGCATTCCTCCAAAGCTCAGTCACAAGACTTCAGTCAAGAAGTGTTGTTCTGTTGTTATGGACCATTGAGTCTGTTCTGACTTATAGTAACCCTATATAGCATTTCCAAGCGACAGCTGGTGGTTTGAACTGCTAGCCTGTGGTAGCAGCCCAGCACTGATGCTGCAGCACCCCCTTCCCCCCTGTCTCATTGAGCTCTCCGTAAGTAACCAGAACACAGGAGACTGCCTAGTGGGCAGGTAGCTAAACAGATTATTTCCTAGAAGTTCTCCACATTTAAAAAGCCCACTCATAAACAATGAAGAGGGTGGCATGGGACAGGAAGAATCACATTGAGAGAGTCTTAATATTAAATCATTTAGATAGTACCTAGCCAAAAATGTATGGTTCAGCCTAACCTTCCAACATTTACTCCCCATTCAACCACTAGTCCCCTAGCTTTTATTCCTTTCTTGTTGTTTAGCATTAGCACCAAGAAAGCCAGGGAGAGCGTGCTCTCAAAAGAACAAAAAAAAACTGTGAATAGGCCTTTAGTTCTTAGGAAAGGAAGAAGAAAAAAAAACACCCCACAAAGTCTCAAAATAATATGTCGTTGTTAAGTGTCATCAAATAAGTTCTGACTCATAGTGACCTTTATATAGTGTTTCAAAGGCGCAGTTGGTAGGTTCAAACTGCCAACCTTAGCAGTCCAGTGCTTCTCCTACAGTGCCACACTAGGACTTCCTTAAAATAATATAGTGGATAATAACATTAAATGTAAATGGATTAGGCAATCCAATCAAAAGGCAGACTGGTGAGACTGAACCAAACAGGGGGGAAAAAAATTCAACTATATGTGGTATTAAATAGACAAACTTTAGATTCAAAGATACAAATTGAAAGTAAAATGATAGAAAAGGATATATCATGCAAAGAGTTACTATAAGAAAGTTAAGAGTAGCTATACAAATGCAAAAATTGTTACGAAAGAGAAAGAGGCACAGAATGATAAAAGTTAATCCATCCAAAAACTATACCAATTATAAACACATAGTACCTAATAATAGGAGTACAGTGATGCTGTAGTGTAAATGTGGGATTACGAACCATAAGGTTGGTGATTCAAATCCACCAGCTGCTCTGTAGGAGAAAGTTGAGGCTTTCTGCTCCTGCAAATATTTAAAGCCTTAAAAACTCTATATAGGGTCAAGATTAGTTAGAACCAACTTGACGGCACTTAGCAGCAACATTACCTAATAACAGAACATCAAAATACATAAAACAAATATTGACAGAAATTAAGAGAAATAGGTATTTCATTAATAATAGTTGGAACTCAATACTTCCCTTTAATGATGAATAGCAAAACTAAGCAATAGATTAATAAGGAAATAGATGAGTAATAGTATAAAGCAACTACATATAGAAGACATCAATAGAACACTCTATCCAACAATAGCAGAGTACACATTCCCCACAAGTGCACAGGGAACATTCTCTAGCACTGACCATATGCTAAGATATAAAACAGAACTCAATTAAATTTAAATGACTGAAATGATACAATCCTGGTGTGGCACTATGGGTTACTGCACCAGACTGCAAACCGTTTTAACTGCAAGGTCGGTGGTTCAAGCTCTCCAGCTGCTCTTCAGAAACCCTACACAGGGTCGCTATGGGTTGGAACCAATTCAAAGGGACTTAACAACAACAACATGCTCTCCTACCTTGCTGGAATGAAATTAGAGATTAGTAATAAAGAATGTCATAAATAAATCAAAATTAAACAACATACTTGTAAATAACCAATAGGTTAAAGAAAAGACATCAGGGGAATTAGAAAATATTTTGAGATGAATAAAAATGAAGACATGACATACCAAAAGTTATGAGATGAACACTTAAAAGGAAACATATAGCTGAAGTCATAAAATATCAAAAATGAGCAAAAAAATCTCAGTATTAATAATCTAACCTTCCAATTTAAGACACTAGAAAAAGGACAAGCTAAATTTAAATCAAGCATGAGAAAAGAAATGAAGAGTGAAAATGAATGAAACAAAGAACAGGAAAACATAGAAACAAAGCAAAAAGGTTCAAATTACTATAATTAAAACATGAACGATGAAACAGGGGACATCAC